CTAAAATACTATAACATTTTCAACCTGTACTGATATTTTTAGGGTTTACTGAAGATGCAGATGCACCCTTTCCTTTGAGTATTTACACCCCTGTTGATCTATTATCATTAATGTAAATGGAATTGTAATTTACAAGTTAATGATAGGGAGAAAAAATATTAACCCTGTCAGAAGTTAATGATCAAAAATTCAGAATTAAATGAAAAAGAAATTATTGGTCATATGCATGCACCAAGGCTACCTTTACAGGACTCTAACCTGCCTAAATCTTCCCCTAAAAGATATCTTTCTTAAATCCCTGAGACCTTATGGGAGACTACATCTATCAATGGAGGGCAAGTCCTGTCTGCTGAACCAATTAAAATTTGAATAGATGCATCTAAACTTTTACTGAAAATTTCCCAATACCCTCTTAAACAGGAAGCCAGAGAAGGCATTGTTCCAATAATACAAGACTTTCTTTCTAAAGGCCTCATTGTGTACCAGCCCATGCAACACCTCTGTCTTCCCAGTATGGAAACAAACAGACTCTGGGTGTTTGTTCAAGACCTGCCTGCAATTAATTGCATAGTCTATTCCTAGATTTCCAACATTTCAAAATCCTCATTTATCGTTTTCTGATGTTTCACCTGAAGCTACTTATTTCTCAGTCACAGACCTTTGCAGTGCTTTCTTTAGCACCTCTGTCCACCCAGACAGTCAGTACTTATTGTCATAAAATTGAGAAGGTGAACATTCTATTCAAACCATGATGCCTCAGAGTTTACAGAATCCCACTTATTTTTCCAAGTTTTACATGTTGATTTACAGCTTCTACAATTTATCCACAATTCTACCTTATTGTCATATGTAGACTACCTGCTAGTCAGCTGTTCTGTTAAGGTAGCTTGTTTGGATGACAGTCTACTATTATTTTAACAAGCGGCCACTGGAGGGCATAAAATATCCAAAGACAAATTAGAATTAGCACAGCCTACAGTTAAATATATACACCATTTAGTATCTTCCCAAGGAATTTAAATTGACCCTAAGAGAAAGGATGCCATATTAGGTTACCTAACCCCTAAGACAAAGAAATAGCTTTGTGGTTCCTAGGATTATGTAGTTACTACTGAGCCTGGATTCCCAGCTTTTCTTTATGAATTTCAACTTTATGAATTTCAGATTAATTTCAACTTACTCCAGAAGACTGCCAAATTGTGAAAACCTTAAAAGAGGCCTTGGCCTCTGATCCAGTATTAGGTTTCCCAAATTACCAATTGGATATTTAATTATAAATGAAATAAAGAGAAATACATCTGGTTTATTGACACGAAAACATGGAGGAAAGCATAGGTATATTGGCTATTACAGCCTCCAACACTGTCTAGTAGCTACAGGCTACCCCTGTTGCATCTGAACAGTGGCTGCCACCACTAAACTTGTAGAATCTATTACAGACATTGTCCTTGGAAACTTCTTAGATGTTTATGTACCCCAGGTTGACTCTACTAGTACACAGCATTTTTCTGTCAGCAGAATCACCTTTTATAAGATTATTTTTTTTTGCTACAGCTAACATTAGACATCACATTATGACTCATTTGAATCTGGCCACCCTTCTCTTCACCTTTAAGAGAGATGAATATCCAAGCTGTGATTGCTTAAGTTTAATAGGACAGTTGATAATGCCTAGAAACAACTTAAAGGAAACTCCCCTAAGTAGTTCTGACTTAATATTATTTGTAGATGGTTCCTATTTAAAACCTTCCAAGCCCTCACCATCAAGGTGGATATGCTGAAGTTAACTCTGCTGGGGTACATGAAAGTCAAGTTAATCACTCTGAGTAGGGCTTATAAACTAACCTCAGGAAAGTTCACAGATATGTTTACAGATTCTCATTATTTTTTTGGAATTGTTAATGATTTTGGCACACTTTTGAAACAGAGAGGATTTTTAACCCTCTGGGACCACTATACAGAATGGAACTTTAGTTGCTAACCTCTTTGGTGTTTTATTGCTGCCCTCTGAGATTGCTGTTATAAAAATTCCAGCATATCAACCAAGAAGGGTTCCTCAAACTGAAGAAATCCAAAGCATCAACATCACTGATGTTACTACTAAACAAGCTACTTCTCAAACACTGTCAACTCTAGTTTAATGAAAACTTATACCCCCAGAAAGGAAGGCTTTAATTTATATGATATTTTAGAAATCATTTCTTATTATCAAGAAGTGGTTCCAAAAAAAGAAGAAGAAGAAGAAGAATTAATAACTTGGAAAATGGCAAGATGCTCCCAACATCTTACTACTAAACTATGATTAGGATCCAACAGAAAAAAAAAATTGTTTTATTAAAGTTCCTACACCTCCTCATATTTCAAAATTATCATGAGGCTTTACTACTAGAGAGAATGGGAATGTTTGATATTTTAGAAAAATATTGGTGTTCAGAAGAATTATTTTATATTTTGTATAAGACTAAAGCCTATCATATCTGTAAGTTTCCACTCTGCTTTGCTAGATAAGCAACTTTTAGAGAAAAAAATGAGGAAACTTTAACAATGGAACTTTACTCTCAAAAAATAAAGGAGGAGGCAAAAATACAGCTGTGAAGAAATATTTTCTAGGGAATGTTTATCCAGAGGGTCTTGAGATAATGTTTGACATAAAGAGTGTATATTTAACAGACAATTTCTTGCTAGATTGGCTCCAGGATATCTACCAGCTAACCTTGTAGAATTTTAACTTGTCAAGGCACCATGAGTGTAACCACATACACTTTTTTTTGTTTGTTTTGTTTTTACTGGATAAAAACCTTTGGTATTCTTTGTTCTATGTACCTTGTGTTGAGAGCCTCTCAAGCCTGTATTTCCCAACTCATAAATTATTTTCTCTCTCAATAATATTCTTTACTTTTATTTTAAGCAGACTCCATGATTAAGTTCTAAGAAAAAGCAGATATATTTTCTGTCATGTTTACACTTTATCCCTAATACCTAGAGCAGTACATGACACATACAGTGTGCTCAATAAAGTCTTACTAAATGAACACATATCTAAGTGTCTGGCTTGAGGAAAGGGACCATAAAGAAAAAGTGAACAGTTTCATACTCAAGGTCTGGGGATGGTAAAGTACAAATCAGGAGAGATTAGACATTAAAAACTTGTTTGCTATTAAAAACTTATTTTGTACCTAACTGGGTTTACAAAGTCCATCAAACTCAATTCTGAAATTTCAGACTCTTTCAGAACATTAGGGAAGACCAGTGACTGGATAATGGCTTCTGCTGAGAGTCAACTTTGGATAACAGGACTATATTAATTCTAAGGCATTATAACAGAAATGTAAGAAATCATTAATATTTCAATATTTTGTCAAGAGCCCTGGCAGAGAGGACCCAAATGACAGATCATGAGAAACAAAACAAATAAAATAATTAAGGCTTAAGGATTTTCAAAGGCATAGAAAGGAAAAAAAAAGAAAAAAGACTCGGAATTGAACACTTGGGATGGTGATTGTTGTTATCATGTAAATTCTAACACATTACTTACAAAAAGAAATACAGTATTTTCTTGACCCCTTATAAGCAAATCAATAGGAATATTCTTTGGATGGCAATGTTTGAGGTATGTAACTACACACATTCCTATTAACATAGAGATGGGCCTTATAATTATCCACTTGGGTTGGGTTCAAACACTAAAACCAAAGGCTTACTTACTCCTCGTCCAGACCTCAAAAAGAGATTGAAAGAAGAAACAACAATATAGTTGGATCAGGTGCAGCAAAGAAAAAGCACAGGTCCAAGGAGATATATTTACCTTTTAATAAACAGGATTCATTATTATCAACTGCCTACATTTTTACATATCTGAGCTTCTCAGCCCAGCATTTATAGAATATTGCCAAGTATCAGTTGTAGATAAAAGCATTATTCAATATTTATGAATTGCTAGTTTTCTATAAATATAGACATTTAGAGACAATCTTCTCATTAGTCATTAAAATTTGAATAGGGATCAAAGGTAGAATAATATTAAAAATTCTTTAATTTGTATAGTGTTTTACATAACACTATTAATAATAGATAACAATTATTTAGCACTTAGCAAATAGTGCCAGGCACTTTACATGCAAATTCTCATTGCTAATTCAATTCAGTTCAACAAGCATTCACTTAACACCTACTGTGTGATAGAAGAATAATAATGACTTAGGTCTTCAAAATCTCATTTTGGTTCATTCAATTGATGTTTGTTGATTGAATAAATCAATGGATGCATGAACAAATGAATTGGTTGGAATGGCATTATGAAGAAATATAAGTAATTCAGATTCCTCCCCTTACCATATATGATCTTGTGAAAGTAACAACCTCTCCTAGCCTCAATTTTTTCACGTGTAATGTAGAGATATCTAAAATCTCCCTTGCAAAATTGTTGTGAGAATTAGTAACAGTAAATGTAAAGCATGTGACATATAATAGGCTCTTAGTCAACAGAAGTAGTTATAATTCATCATCATATCATCTTCATTACTTTTATCAAGGAATCGATTCCAACTCCCCTCCCACTCACCATAGCAATGGTCCACATCCACACATGCACACACAGAAATAAAACCACCACAAAAATAATGAAAAGCAAGGGGATTCTATTCAACTGTAGTTCTCAGTGTTTGTACTCTAGGTTACTTCACAACATGTAAGCTTAGGGAAAAAAAATATGGACCCAACATTAATTATCCAAAGACACCATGATAAAAGTCAAAAAGGAAACTTACAACATAACAGATTGTACCTTCCCTCATAATAGAATGTTGGTCAGTCACGTATGGGATCATGTTCTTTATCCCAGCACTCTCAAACAGCAGTACCTAAAGTGCAGTGGCCATGCAGAAATTCATCTTATTCCTGTCAGTACCAATAAGGCTGATCTCGAACCATACAGCAGACATACTTGTGTCTGGAGTCAAATTCTTCAACTAGAAAAGCATCTCATTCCATTGGTCACTTACCATTTTGGTCTGCTGGTAGATTTCACCATAGGGGCCATCCCATCTCTATAAAGACTTTTAGTCTTGCTGAAGTTAACAATGTTGAAAATGACCCTCTGAAAAAGAAAGAGGAGAAAGTTCATCAAAAGATTATATTATACAAGTTGCTACCCCTGATAATTAAAAACAGGAAACAATAAGCAGATTAAAGAGTGCCAAATGGACTGGCGACCAAATGTATAGTGAGGATAAATTATACCCATGGAATATAATGTGTTTGTGCCAATTTTTAGCATACTTTGTATACAGGGACAATGCAAGAGAGAGAAGCATTGAAATTCAAGCAGGATATTATTCAATAAATACTGGGTAAATTATTATATACACCTTCTCACTTATCAACTACCTAGTTATCTGACTTTTCACATTGATGACAGGAGTAAAACATTCACTATCTGACTATTTTGTGCATTAACAATGTACATCTGGCAATTAGGAAGCTGAGGAGTAAAGGGAAAGTAATGTTGGCTGTGATAAAGAATCTGTCAGCTTAGCTGGGTCATGATTCTCATGGTTTGGCAGTTATGTTATGGTGTAATTAGGAAGTTATGCAATGATATAGTCATCCTGCATATTCTGATCTGATGTGGCCATTCTCTATTTTTGCACAACACCAATTTCCAATGGCTACTTGGCCTTGGAACTTAATCATGTCAATAAATGAGGAGAAATGTAGTGCCAGGAATTTTATATACTTTTTTAAAATTTTAAATCTTCTGGTAGCATAGTGGCTAAGTCACTTGCCTGCTAACCAGACGGCTGGCAGTTCAAACCCACCAGCCACTCCTCGGAAGGAAGGTTGGGCAATCCTACTTCCGTAGTGATACTGCCTCGAAAACCCAAGGAGGGGTCGCTATGAGTCGGGGCCGACTCGACGGCACATAACAACAACAACAACATCATGCAAATGAATATTAACATCTCTATTTTACAGATGTAGAAATAGGCTCAGAGACATTATCTAATTTGTTCAAAGTAACATAGTTAATAGGTAGTAAAACTGATACTGGAATTCAGGGGATAAAAAGTTAAGTAGGATGTCCATGATCTCTACCTTTGGGTTGCTCACTAAGGTTCTAAAATTCTGTAAATCTAATCACATCTGTTTTTTAAATTAAGGACTATACACACACACATATGTATAATGGGAATTTTTCAAGCTTTCAATATTTTGTTTTGTTAAAAATACAAAATAAAACCATTTCCTCTGGCCCCACATTTCAGACTTTCATAAAATGCTTTGTTCCATGAAATAATCTCTTGGGAATAACTTGCATTTTCTTTTCTTCATCAGAAACCCAACCACTCACTCCTTCTCCTAAGCATTTCAGTTTCAGAACTCATAGGTGCCATTAAATTAAGTCATTTAGAATGTCTAAGATTGTTCCCTTATTAATAACCTGGACCTACCTGTTTTCTGTTCCATTACTTTTCCTGGGGTCTTGTCTACTATCAGATTTGAGTAAATAAATATCAAAGGGAAAAATGGCCTCTTAACCTTACAGGGCTTAAATCATCTTTTTTTCTTCTGATATTTCACAAGTAAGATTCATTTCCAATGTACCTAGAAACCATATCCAATCTAAGTTATTGCTAAATGCAGGAAGAAAGTAAATCCAGATATGATGTGCATATAAGAAGCAGGGATAAAGAAATGAAAAACAGAGTGTAACCTTTAATCATTAAGACCCTACTATGTGTTAGGAAGGAGCTCTGGTGGTGCTGTGGCTAAGGCATTGGGCTGTTAACCAAAAGATTGGTGGTTCAAACCCACCAGCTGTTCTATGGAAGAAAGAGGATACAGTCTGCTTCCATAAAGATATACAGCCTTGGAAACTTTATGAGGTTGCTATGAGTTGGAAATGACTTGATGGCAGTAGACAGGTGTCAGGAGATTTTCCTAGGTGTTTTAAACATACTTATTTATTTCTTATATCCATAGAAAAAAGTAACTTATTTTAGCACAATTTTAGGCAGGAGAAAATTGAATCTAATAAAAGCTAAATAGTTCACCCCTGACTGATTAAATGGTAGAGCCAGGACATAAATTTTAGGTGATCTGACCATGAAAATAAAGATAATACTGCTAATCAGAGGGCTGGCGGTTCAAACCCACCAGCCACTCCTTGGAAGGAAGGTTGAGCAAAATACTTCTGTAGTGATACCACCTCGGAAACCCAAGGAAGGGTTGCTATGAGTCAGGTCCTACTCAACCACACATAACAACAACATTTTGTATAACACTACAAATGAAAATTAACATCATCTCTTACTGTTCCCTGCTCATGGCATTTTTTTTAAAGCTTTTCAACTTATGTAGGAAGGCAGTATGAGGTGGTGAGAATTAAAGACAAGAAATACTGACTCCAGGTTTTACACACATTCATTAGTTATTTATTCAAAATGCATCAAAAGAAATGGCATCTAAAAGTTAATAGTTAAAGCAGTAATAGCACATGTAACTACAACAATGAGTAGCTAATGATTTCCGAGTAAAAAATTCTGAGTTAAGCTTTTATTCCTATTTTCACATTATTCTCAGTGTTCTGTGTATAAAAATTGGTTGCATATTAGGATCATCTGGACAGTTTTTTTAAAACTACTGATGTTTAGACCCCATTCCCAGAGACTCTAATATCTGATGTATTACATGATTTGTTTCAAGGATAATGAACTTTTTCAGACAGAGACTACTTTTTCTTCTTACTAACAAAGGAGGGGAAAATGAGATTAAGTGAATTAAGATCACAGAACTAATGAATTCAAGAGCTAAAATTTGAAAAAAGTCCACTGACTCAAGAGAAAAAGATCATGTACTTTCAGACAGATACATGCAGGAGTGAAGCCCAGCTCTCCACTAGTTCTGTGACCATGGGCAAGATAATAATTATACATATTTTTAAATATTGATTTTTTACATCCATAATAAGGATAGTAATAACATTCTAACAAAATTTTCATAAGAATCTGTGAAATTATATGAGTAAATCACCTAGTATAATGTACCTAACTCAGAGTAAGGACTAAATATTTAGTGACCCTTCTTCACTCTTCTCTTCAATAAAACCTGATCTTTTAGTACATTACATTTTCTTCCTTCCATTATATATTTTATTTCTTCTTTAGGTTTAAATTTTAATCTAGGTTTCTCATTTCAGTAATACAGTGCTCTAAATCAAAGCTTTGGAAATAGTGACCTGTTGTTGTTCTTGTTAAATGCCATCAACTTGGCTTTGACTCATAATGAAACACTGCCTGGTCCTACACCATCCTCACAATCCTTGCTATAATTGAGCCAATAGTTCCAACCACTGTGTTAATCCATCTCATTTTTGCTGACACTCTACCAAGCAATGATACCCTTCTCCGGGGAATGGCCCTTTCTTACAACATGACAAAATTAGGTGAGACAAATTCTGGCCATTCTCACTTCCAAGGAGCATTCCAGCTACACTTCTTCCAGGACAGATTTGTTAGTTCTTTTAGCAGTCCATGGTACTTTCTGCATTCTTCACCAGCATCTCAACTCAAAAGCATCATCAACTCTTCTTCGGTCTTCTTTATTCATTGTCCAGCTCTCATATGCATATAAGGCGATTGAAAATACCATGGCTGTGTCAGGTGCACCTTAGTCCTCACAGAGATATCTTTGCTCTTCAGCATTTGAAAAAAAGTCTTTTGCAGAAGATTTGCCCAATGCAATCCATTGTCTGATGTCTTGACTGCTCCTTTCATTGGTGTTGATTGTAGAACCAAGTAACATGAAGTCTTTGACAACTTCATCTTCTCTCCATTTATCATGATGCTGCTTATAGTCCAGTTGTGAGGATTTTTGTTTTCTTTATATTGAGGTGTAATTCATACTGGAAACTGTACTCTTCAATCTTCATCAGTAAATGCTTCCAGTCATCCTCCCTTTCAGCAAACAACGTTGTGTTGTCAGCATATTGGGAGTTGTTAATGATTCTTCTTTATAGTCCAGCTACATTTGTGTTCTTATAGTCCAGCTACAGCTAAAACTAGTAACCTCAAAATATTACAGCATTGATAAAACTGTGTCTTAGAAAGAAATCATTCAGTAGTAATGGTAAAGGCCACAGAAATATAGCTACCTATTCTGGGTTTTGGGGTAAAAAAA